GGTTGAAGAGACATCTTTTCTCATTCCAGACCAAAGGCGGCACTTCTATTCCTGCCCACAAACTTGTCCTTTGTGCACAATTCCCAGGAATAAAGAAGAGTATCTTAGAGAGCAAACATTCAAACCTCTCAAATTGGAGTCGTTTTCCATATGAGTAGGTCATTTATCCTGATTCCATTACCAACTCGTTAGTATTGTTATGGCAGCCGTCGATTTCGCCTACACTGGTGAAATAATCATAAATGTTGAAAACGTATTGGGGATATATCTGATGGCCCACAATCTTGGCTGCAAACAGCTAATTGACTGGACAACGGAGTTCATCAAGACAAGGTTCGTTTATTGCAACCAGAAAAAAACATAATGCGTGTGTGTGTAAGAGTGATAGTTTTAGTAGAGTGAGGTTCAAAAAAAAGCAAAATATGAGTAATAGAATAAGAGTTTGTGGCAAAGGATTAAAAAACGTACCACACATCACTCATGCGCAAGCGGCCATTGTCTTGTAGACTTGATCTACTTGATTTGATGGAGGTTTGGTCGGCAGCAAATGTCACTTCAAATGCTGGTCTCATTGGCGTGTGCGTGCCAAGGATAGCGGGCGATTTTGAGAGATTAGCCTCCAGCCAGCCCTTCCTTCAACACGTAGGTGCTGACCAACTTCAAACCTTACTGCAAAGTCCCTGGATATGCGATGGAAAAGAAACACTGAAATTCAAGGCAATCTGTACATGGTTGCATGCATCCTCCTTAAATGACGAGCACGTTAAAATGGAAAAGCATTTTCGTTCTCTTCTCAAGTTGATCGACATGGAGAAATTGCCAAAAGAATTTATAATTAAAACGTCAGTTAGTGGATCGGATTTCAACTTGTCGGAAAGTGCAAGGTATAATGTCATTCCCATTATCGAATATTGGGTTCTTTAGGACAATATTTATGGACACATTTATGAATTTGAATGAAATGAAAAAGGAAAGGTACACTCATATTTTTCTATAACACTTGATTTGAAATGAATGATGCACTGTTTTGTCATCACAGCTCGAAATCGATGGTCTATTTTCATGGGCGTAAAGACATTCCAAGTAGTGGAGTTTTGGAGACGATTCCTGAACTAAGTGGAGGACGAAGATTTATCTTCCGATTCGAATTTCGAACGAACAGCTGCACAGTTGCTTTGGATGGTTGGATCTAACTTCGATTGCTTACTCTCAATTACTCTTTTTTACTCTTTGTAGGTAGCGTTTATACTCTGGGTGGCTATGACATGTCTGGTGTGCCTACATCAAGAGTGGATAGAATCAATCCAGAGAACGGTAAAGTGACCTTACTCCAACCAATGATTGAGAAGATAACGAGCCGTTCCGCAGTGGCTCGAGATCATGCAGTTCTTGTTTTTGGAGGTTATAGTATGCAAAGTAACAAAATTGTAGACTCTTGTGAGGAATTTTCATCTGCAACCAACACGTAAGCATTTTATATATGCCTCTTAGACGTATTTTAAACATTTTGCCTGGTGTGATATTCGGACCTACCTTGATTGCAACTACAGACATCTGAATCAATCTGAGTTTGTCCGATTTTGTCCGGATAATGACTTACACTCACTTGATTGCTCTTGACAATGCACTAATATTTAATGAGACTTTTCACTCATCCTTTGTTACATCTTGAGAGTTCTGAAAGTACTCACTCATTGGTACATTGTCATTAGTTGTAAGACATTTATTTATTTATTTATTTCAAATGGCAGGCGTCTTGATGGTTATCATTAGCCCTTTAGTTGACTTCAAACTTCACAGAGGGGAAGGAACATCAAATTGAAAAAAGTCGAAAGGGGGGGGGATTGAAGAGAAGAGCGTTTCAAAGATGTAGAAGAGACAGACACAGAGGTAGAAAAAAGGTGATGTGAGTACTGTGAAAATATTCGAATATGGCATAGAGTGAGGTGATGGTAGTTTAAACAGACACAAAGGTAGAACAAAGGTGAGGTGAGTACTGTGTTACACGAAGGTAGAGAAAAAGGTAAGATGAGTACTGTGGAGGCTTAGAAAAGGTAGGAAAAAGGTGAGGTGAGTACTGTGGAAGATACAAATGTAGAAAAAAGGTGAGGTGAGTACTATGGAAGTATACAGACTCAGAGGTAGAAAAAAGGTGAGGTGAGTACTGTGGAAGTAGACTAATATGCCATACAGTGGGTCATGGTAGCTAGAGTCAACTGGAATATGGCATAGAGTGAGGTGATGGTAGTTTGAAGTGAGGGAGGTAAGTCTATCGCACACCCCGGTTGTAAGACATTAATGACAGTTGGACATAGCTCAGGTATAGCGAAAATGAATACATTTAATTTATTTATTATACAGTGGCTTTTGATGCAAATTTCCTCTTATAACTGAAAACTAAAGATATTTCAAATATAGGGTCGCCAGTCGTTTGTTTATTCAGATTGACAAGGTTTTAGAAGTTACGTCCATCAACATGTACATATAACGGTTGATTAACATGTTCTGATATCACGTTCATATGCATTTCGAGATATTTGTAAATACATTTTCTGCATTTTTGTGAGTTTGTCTGCTTTTGGTTGGAAAATGACTTGGATTCATTTCATGGCTATTGGTAATGCAATATGATGTGACCAATCATTCTTGGAGAGTTCTGAAATAATATTGTTTAATTTATACATCGTCATAAATAGTTGGATATTTGTATCCACAGAACACTGCTTGGCAACCGTTGACTCAATCACTTATTAAAGTATTCATGTTGCATTGTCTTTGTTACAAAATGTCTTCCTATATCTGTGAATTGAAGACCTTTCAAATACCGAAACAGCATAGGCTGGGATGTGAAAATAAGGAAGATGTTGGTAGTATTGTGTCCCAGCATGTTTGCATGTGGATATTAGACCCCGCCTGATTTCAAGCTCCAAATTGTAGGTCGAAGGTAACGAATCAGCCAGTATCACTTGAGAATTTAGTATTTCCAAAATTTAGGTGGAGGAAACTGCCCCCAATGCCAACGCCCAGATCTGACACGGGAGCAGCACATATACCCGGTGTTGGTGACATAGTTGTTGGTGGGTGGACAAAAACTGGAAATTCAGGAAAGACAATCGACAAAGCGGAAATCTTTTTGACGACTTCATCGCCTCTTGGACATGCAGGCAGTTGGTGTGAAATCTCTCCCATGCTTCATTCGAGGATTTATCCTGCAGTAGAATTCTTCAATGGAAGTTTATACGTCGCTGGTGATCGTAATAGTTCAACTTCCTCTGTTGAGATGTTGTCCTTATTTACTGAAGGACCTCCCCAGTGGACCGAAGTGATTAAACCCACTTTTAAGCCACACTCGTTGATCTCTTTTAATGGGAGCCTTTTGTTTTGTTGTGAGTCATGTTTACTTTTATTCAATATTTTTGAAGAGAAGTAGAAATATTTTCTTGTATTAGAAATTTCGAGTTGCCAACAACAGGATTATCTTCTCTCAAACAGGGAATTGATTAATTTGAAAATATGAGGTCATAAATACGATTTTTTGAAATTCTTGAATGCGTTTAGAAATGCTTTGACAACTGGAATAAAAGCAGTGTTGTTTGCATATGGTTTCTACCTTAGTAACTCAATGCAACTTAATATTCCTAATTTAAATATCGTGTGTCATACTTGATTTCACTCACATTACAAAGCGGAAATCAATTTTTCCTAAGGACTCCATTCAAATGCCATCGAATATCTAAATCAAAATTAATCTGTGTCTACACTTTAAGACAAATCAATGTTCACCTTGATTTTACTGTAGTTTTTATTGAATGCACTCCAGACCCCTGGTACTTTTCGCTTTGACAACTCTCGATGAATAGGAAGAAAGATTAGTAGAATTAATACCAGGGAAGGTCCACACGCATCCCTCACCGTCTTTGTTGGATGATTTCAAACATCTAGACATAAGCTTATTAATGTTCACAAGTCCCAGAGATAACACTCCTTAAAAGGATCGAATCGTAGCTTAATAGANTCTGTTGAGATGTTGTCCTTATTTACTGAAGGACCTCCCCAGTGGACCGAAGTGATTAAACCCACTTTTAAGCCACACTCGTTGATCTCTTTTAATGGGAGCCTTTTGTTTTGTTGTGAGTCATGTTTACTTTTATTCAATATTTTTGAAGAGAAGTAGAAATATTTTCTTGTATTAGAAATTTCGAGTTGCCAACAACAGGATTATCTTCTCTCAAACAGGGAATTGATTAATTTGAAAATATGAGGTCATAAATACGATTTTTTGAAATTCTTGAATGCGTTTAGAAATGCTTTGACAACTCTCGATGAATAGGAAGAAAGATTAGTAGAATTAATACCAGGGAAGGTCCACACGCATCCCTCACCGTCTTTGTTGGATGATTTCAAACATCTAGACATAAGCTTATTAATGTTCACAAGTCCCAGAGATAACACTCCTTAAAAGGATCGAATCGTAGCTTAATAGACATACTCGCAGAAAGTCAAGGCTCGTTTACACAAATGAGATTAACTTGTGTGCAGGTAAAAGACAGCCTCACTCATTCACTATGTAGTCAGACATTGAGATCGATGATGATACAGACGTCACTCTTACCTACTGCAATGCATAATTGACAGCGAGTTCATACCAGTATTGCTTTGAGCAAATTGTTCAATCAAATAAATTGAGTGGGCTTTCTATTTCCTTCCCTCATCTGAAAATTGAATTTTGTGAGCAAGTTGTAGATAAAGAGCAATCACCAGACACCACTCAAGGTTAATTAAAATGAACAGATATTCAAATCTGATCATAATTTATTCTCATTGTAGCTGACGAAGGAAGAATATATGAGTTGTTATTCAACCAAGACAATGAGGTAAGTTTTATGACATTGAAACTCCATGAAAGTACAGGTTACCAATCAATCCCTATTTATTGCTAATTCAGACCTCCTCAGAACCAAAGTATTCTTGGAAATTGATTTCTGAATTGGATAAAATGAATGACCGTCGACTCTTGAAGATAACTGATCACCCGTGATTCATTTTATCTCCTCCGATAAACATTTTTCACTGTCTCTTTCCTCTTGCAGACGAACTGAGTTTAAAATAATGACTGTGTTAGGTTAAAAATATCTTTCTACATTGTGAATAAATTTATTTATTTATTTATTTCAACTGGCAGGCGTTTCGACAGTTATCACTAGCCTTTTAGTTGACTTCGGGCTTCACAGGGAGGATGGAGGGGGGGGGGGGACAGAATAATGATTCACAGACGTATAAGAGACAGACAAAAAAGACAGAGAAAAGGTAAGATGAGTACTATGGAAGTGATCGAATATGGCAGGCAGTGTTGTGAATAAATTAAACAATAATAATTGAAAATTAAAACCATAATTCCACTTTTACCGATGTAAATTTTTGTTTTTGTAATAGAGAAATTATAATGGAGGAATAAATATGCAAAATGTACAATCAATTATTTATATATTATTTAAATTGAAAAAATAAATAAGATTTGAAACCAGAGTGGGCAGAGAAGGAAACACCTGCTCATTCGAACATTTATTTGTACAGAGATACCACATCACATCCCCAATAATGTTATTTCACCCGATACGTCTGTTTTCTCTATAGCTTCACAATAACTTAGCTAGGTCTGGTGGGTTATCCAAACTTGGTGGAATCTGCCACAGACATTTATGGGTATTGTCAAGGCTACACATTTTCGGGGAAAAATCAATCTCAGATTGGATGGAGGAAGAAATATGCGAAATAAAATATTAATCATTTCTAACTTTTAAGTTTCTAATTTTAAGCAGAGTGTGTTGAGGAGCAACTAAATGTGCTCCGGAACAATTTGTGTGGCGTGAAATCAGAAGCTGCTGTATACGATGGAATTCGGGTAGAAATGTTCGATTGTGCCCAGATAATTCTTATGCCTGAAGCACCTTTCACCAAATACTATTTGATAGTCAGACAGGAATTCACCTAGAAAAAGAAATTCTTTGCTAAACCTTCAGCTCAACATATTGATGTGTCAATGTCTCTTGGTCGCAAATCCTCCACACATAAAATGCCCATGTCTAGAAATCTCTAGGAAACACCTGTAACATTACTCTCTAGTTAAATGGGATAAGATACACCGTTTCTTTAGGCACACAGGTCGGTGCTCTTTTGATACCAATCAAGGTGTATATGACTAAAAATGATGTAGTAAATTTGGCTGTGAAGATTCCCCTGACAGAGGGAAGTCAACAGATTCAAATTTCAGTGCAATACTTGCATGAAAAGGTACGAAAATGACGACTGTCCTCTCAGAGAGTACTGGAATTCAGGTTGTTGATATGAAGGACCTTGAGGAAGTGGGAATTCAGTGCGATGAAGAAGTCTATGTTGCTGGTGTTACAGCTTCTAAACCAAAATATATTGGCGATAGTTATGGCCCTGTAAGAGATCATAATGTCACAAGTTCAACTTCTAATAAGAGACGAAAAGTAATCGTTATATCGCAACCGAAAATTTAGAACGCGCACAACTGAACCAGAAGGCCACAAACCTTCTGAATCAGAGTGGTGATCTAAGAGAAATTCACTCAAATTTGTCATCTTCGGTTTCACAACCTCGGTTACGAATGGGGAGTGTATTGGGGACTCCTATTCATTAAGGAAGGCAAATGAGTTCCTAACAGCCAATGACTGCTATAATCAATCAATCTCATATAATGACCTGTGAGTGTGGCCGTCAATACACGATCGGTGAACTAGAACGACAACTAATTTCAATAGAATCTGATGCATCAGGAGCGTTAGGACGCATAAGTTCTCAATTCTCAACAAATAAGCCATAACGACATATAACCACAACCTTCAATACGTTCAGTTCTCAGGACAGGGTTGCTGCAGAAGCATCCAGAATTACCTCTGCCCACACTGGTGAGGGTGGAAGACAGTTCACATTCACAGAACTCAGTAACCCACCTGCTATCACTTCTCAATATTCACCATCTGCAAAGCCTTCAGAGCAGTCTGGTATTCGATGCCATTGTGGACGTCATTTTGCAGCAGTGAGTGCAAGCAGTTCTCCGGTGGAAATCTCCTGCAGTTATTGTGGTGTGAGAAATTTAGAGATTGTTAGAGAACTGTGAAAAAATCAATATTCACTTGTGATTGTAAACGACAGTATGGTGGTGTCAGCATGCTTCCTTAAATTAATCAGAAATGTACCTTTCCACGGTAATTAATGTGCTTCAACAGCACAACATAGTACCTGTGTGAGGGACAAGGAAAAATGTAAGAAAGATTCGGGAGCGCAAATCAAGAAGAACGTGGATATGAAAATGAAGCAATTCATCAACTACCAGTTCATTTGCTGAAGCCAGAGTATACCTCATTTGGATGACTCTTTTATCGTCAAAATTTAACATTAACCAGGTATTTTTTCTATCCAATATTTAACCTTTGCCTTTGAAAAACACATATGACTAAAAAGACTTTCATTAGATCATTATTCGCATAAAAACAATTAGACAAGGGCAACTAGGTGGGATGTGCAAGGTGATAAGTTGCTTACTGCTTACTGAGACCCGCTAGCGAGAGGGATAAATTATCAAGCCAATCAACCCCCCCCCCATTTTAAAGGGCAGCTCATCAATTTGCTAAGGCATTGGCATTTGAGTTAAGAACAAATGATTCTTACTACTATTTTGCATTCAATAAGAGTAGACAAAATTGTGAAATGGTAGGATATCGTTAACAAGAGAAGAAAATCAAGCTTGTTCTCTGTTAGAATTCTCATTATAAATGCATTTCAAAGTAATTAACTGACCTTAAGTGGGTATTCTGGTCATAGCTTAACTATTTAGGAATATGTCTACGAGAGGATTTTCAAAAAACTCAAATTATTTTCAGAGAAATAAGTATTTTGTTGAGCAGGCATCCAAATCGGTCGGGCTGCAACTAATCAAATAAAAGACAAAATGGGTTCTCTGACTACCTGAATCTATATTTCTTAGTAAACCCTTTTGTTCCGTTATATCTATCTATCTATCTATTTATCTATCTATCTATATATTTCTTTTCACGACAATCGATTTACGGAACAGGAAATCACCAGTTTTACGAGTGCATCAGCAGCAAAATTGAGGAAATCAAATGATGAAGAAGTAATGATAGACAATAAGTACGGCTACCGTGTTTTGGAGTTTTTCACGGTCTTTTAAGCATTTTTTCGTTTGTTTCGTGCACTATACACAACAACGAGGTTAAATTTTCAAGAACGGCTCAACGCGGACTCGGGTTCAAAATTGCATTACAATGCAGTTGCAATAGTCTACGCTACATTCCATCATGTCCATTCGTTGACAAATCCTTTAAAGCTTATCACAGGAAGAGTTATTGATTCGATGTTTGGGTTCAGAAACTCAAAATAATAATGAGTCTCTAAACTCGCTGATATGAACTTTCGCTCCAAAGCATATCCATTCCGGGTCTCAGATCATTGAAATTGCAACATTTATTGCCGTGTGTATTTTTAATGAAGGATTTATACCGATATTGAAGATAATGACGATTAAGGGAGTGAAAAGTGGACCAGAAGAGCATGAATTTGCTATCAGACGAGACAACGCTAGGATTGACCGCTCCGAGATACGAGCATCCAGCACATCAAAGGAGGCTAGAACTGTTTGAATAGAAAACAGAAACGCTGAAAATAGTTTTCGAAGTCGAGAAAGGTCCGATGTATGCAGCAGGAATGGCAGATTGAATAAATGTAAGTTAATAATATAATTTTATGACTTAGACTTCAACAAATTTTATTTGAAACTTTAAACACGTTTTTCTCAAAACTGTTTTTGCAATCTGATACCCACGATTTCTTAGATTCTGCCGAACCGATTTCAGATTGCTAGGAGAGTTAAAATAGTGGGTATGGTCACGCACCATATTTTTGAGACATCCCACTCCATCATCTGATAACTAACGGAATTTTATATTTTTGCTTTTTTATTTTTTTGTATCCTTCTAATTTGAATAAATAATGCATAAAATATTGATAATAAAAATATTGCTTGCATTTTTACAGCACTTCAAAAATGACCTAAAATCCATGTCTCTAGACCAGAATACCCCCTTAAGGCTAAATTATTCGTGTAAACTACTTTCTGAAACAAAAGGAAATATAGTAAAAATAGAGTGCTATCTCTGCCCATGAAGATAAGAAAGCGGCCTCTTTCTCAAAGAAGAGTCCAAACCGAATTTCAATTGAGGATAGAAGAAAGGGGAATTGCTTTCCTTGTCGTGTGCGACAGCGGAGGAGCATTCGAAGCCCAAAATGCTTGAGATTACGGCCTGTTGGAGCACAACTAGTGTTGGGGGATTGTCTTTATGTACAAACCAATTTCAGCCAATAATCAGTGTGTGCAAGAAATACCGCAGGATCTCTTATTCACCTTCAAGTGTGCATATCTGGTTTTAGAGGAAGACTTCTCAGTCGTTAACTGGATGTTTATATATCACACATTGAGGTGAATAATATGGCTTTGTTTAAAAATTTCTCATAGTAACGTGTTTTGTTGAATATTTGGGATAAATCTCCATCTCGGAAGTGTTCACAAACATGCCGATGATGCGATAAAATTTGAGAAGTGTGAATGCTTGTTAAACAGCCCAAATATTAGATACATCTTTCCTAAGATATCTTTTAACATTGCTTTTATGTTAACAGTTCAATTTTCACCATGGAGCTTCCAAATTAAAAAAAAAATGAAAAGTTAAAGTTTTTTTCAATTGAGCAATCATGTTAAAACAATAATTACGAATAAAGACTTGTTAGTAATGAAGTTTTAAATACATTCGCTCGAAAACAATAAATATTTAGTAGAAGGGAGGGGGGGGGGGGGGNGGAGGGAGATTGTCAAACGGAGCGGCCACCGTCATGATGCAGAAGTAGTTAGTATGGAATAGTTAGACTCCTTTCAAAACAAATTCAATTGTTTCATCAATTTTGTGGTCAAGTAGGAGAAGTTGGTGGAGAGTCTGAATACGGCCGCATGATTGAAACAATATTTTTTCTTGTTTCATGAGTGTCCGTATGTCAGAGGCAATCAAGGATGGAACTAGCGAATGGTCCAATATAAATTGCCAATAAAACTGTTGGACTATATCAGTGAACACAAATTTGAAGAATATACATGAATAAATAAGAGTGCTGTCAGGGTTAACGCTCTTGTAAAATTGCCCAATCATAGTTAAATGGCATTTCAAAATAGACAAGTCTTGTGAAATTTATTCATCTTACTGTAAGTGGATGCAAGAAGTTAGCGAGGGATCAACAGGATGGATATTCGAGTTGACGAAAACATCGCTTTTACACACTTTCGTTTGCTTCAAAGATCCATGTCCACACACCTTTCCTTTGTGCACAGTTTCCAGGAAGTTAGAATAGTACTTTAAATAGTAAACATGCTAAACGAGTAGATAGACTGTCCTAAAAACATTATCAACTCTTTAGTATTGTTAGAGGTGACGTTGAAATAAGCATAAATACTGAAAACGCATTAGGGATTTATCTGTTAACTCACAATCTTGGCTGCACAAAACTAGTTGAATGGATGGTGGATTTCATAATGACAAGGTTCGTTTATTACAACCAAACTAAACATAATGTGTGTATGTGTGTGTGCGACAGAAGAACAGTGGTGAATGTGCACTTCTTGAAGGTCAATGGTTTTCAAAATAAATAATGATATGTAGAGTTATAGGGAAGTGGCTTTCTGAACGAAAGTGCAAGCATTGATGACAAAGATGGATAGTATAAGTAGGGTTATTTGCAAGTGATGTGAGAAGATACCATCACTAAACTAAAGTCCGCCGTTTCTGGCACTTCTCCTCATAAACTTGACGTAATTGTCTTGTAGGCATGATCGACTTAATTTGTAGGAGGTTTGATCAGCAGGAAGTGTCACGTCAAACACCAATCTCATTGGTGAGTGCATACCAAAGATAGCATGAGATTTCGAGTGATTATCATTCAGCCAGCCCTTCCTACAACACGTAGGAGTCGAACAACATCAAATCATGCTGCGAAATCCATGGATATGTGATGGGAACGAAAAAGTGAAATTCATGGCACTCTGCACATGGTTGAATGCCTCGTCTTTGAATTGCGATCGCACTAAGCGTGAAAAGCACTTTGATCGCCTTATAGATTTGATTAACATGAAGAGATTGCCGAGAGAATTTGTAATTGAAACGTCAATGCGTGGATCACATTTCATTTTATCTCAATATGCAAGGTACTGTCTGATTCCCATTATTGGTACATTTATGAATTTGAACGAATCTCCAAGGAAAAGGTAACACATGGCATGGAATACATAATGCGTTGTTTTGTCGCTGTAGAATGAAAAGTATTATTTGTGTTCATCTGCGTCATTACGATTCAAATAGCGGTCTTTTAGTAACTGTTACTGAACTATGTGGAGGAATAAAATTTTCGACTCACCGGCTGTACAATTGCATTGGGTGGTTGGATTGAACTTGAATTTCTTTCTCCAAATTACTCTATTTTATTCCTTGTAGGTAGTGTTTATACTCTGGGAGGCATAAACGAGTTTGAAGACATTATAGCAAGAGTGGAAAGAAACAATCTACAGAATGGTGAAGTGATTCCACTCCAACTAATGATTGAGGAGAGAGAGAAAGGCAATCCTCAGTGGCTCGAGATCATGCAATTCTAGTTTTTGGTGGATATAATACGCAAAGTGGCAAAATTTTAGACTCTTGTGAGGAATTCATACCTGCAACCAATACGAAAGCATTTAATAATCAAATTACACGCGTTCCGAAATACTTTGTCTGGGTGATGTTTGGACCTGCTTGGATTGTTAATACAATTTCTCATCAAACTAAGTGTGTCTGATCTGGATTGGAGAATGACTTGCATTCACTTTTGATTTCCATTGGAAATGATATAATCTCATTAGTACAAAGATACTGGTGTCAATAAGACAGTTGACAAGAGAGAAAATGCAGAAGGACAGTCACTTAATAAATTATTCATGCTGCATTGGCTTTGGATAAAAATTTCTTCTTGTATCCGACAATTGAAGGTCTTTTAAATATTGCATCATTAGACATTCGTTCGTCAAAATAAGCGAGATGTTGGTAGCAGTGTGCACCAGCATGTGCGTATGTAGATATTAGACCACGCCTGATTTCAAGCTCCAACTTGTAGGTCGAAGGTAACGAATCAGCAAGTATCCCTCGAGATTTTAATATTTCCAAAATGTAGGTGGAGGAAACTGTCCCTAATGCCAACGCGTAGGTATGGCACAGAAACAGCACATATACCCGGTGTTGGTGATTTAGTTGTTGGTGGGTATGTAGAAACTGGAGATGATTCACGGTGTGTCCACAACGCAGAAATCGTTTTGACAACTTCATCGCCTCTTGGGTATGCAGGCAGTTGGTGTGATTTGTTAAATTCAACTTCTTCTGTGAAGATGTTGTTCTATTAAAACCGAATTTTATTCATATCCGACTATTTATTGTGATGGGAGTCCTTTGTTTGGCGAATCCAATTTTATCATCTTTATTTGAAAAGAAATAGGATCTTTTCTTCCGAGTTCATGTCACTTTTGCTTTGAACATATTGGTCGATTCATTCAAATGTGTGGTTAATCAATTTTTCCTGCCTAAAATGAAAGAGCAGTTAATTGAATTTCGATAGCACCTTTCTAAATACCAGACTCCACTCATGATCGAATAACATTTTCTCTTAATTGTAGCCATTGGTGAAAAAATATATGAGTTGCTATTCATTTATGATGACATTGAAACCCGTAAAACGATGAACTCCTCCAAGCAAAAGTATTCTTGGAAATTGGTTTCTGAACTAGATTTTATAGATCACCTATGACTTCGGAAGGTATATGATCTCCACTGATTCATTGTTAATAGTCAGATCAACAGTTGTTACTTCCTCGTACATCTTGAAAACGAATTGACGTTGAAAATCAACTGTAAAATATCACAAATTTATACTTCCCTGTGAATAATTTAAATAAAAAATTGAGCGTTAACAATGCTATTCTTGTCTTTTTGAAAAGAATTGTAATGTTAATGGAAAAAAGAAATATGCAAATAATGAAAAATCTATTATTTTGTATTTCTGAAGAGGGGTGTGCGGTAGACTTGCCTCCTCGTGGTGCACCCTGGGCAACGTATTCTCATACGGCAAAAAGTCTATTAACAGGCAGTTAACTTCTGACTTCAGACTACCATGACCCCTACTGTATGTCATATTCCACCACTTTCCCAGTACTCATCTTACCATTTCTCTGCCTTTGTTCTATCTATCTCTTATTCAGCCCACCCCCCTCCCCTCTCGAATTTTGTCACTTTGATGTCCTTTCTCCTTTCTTAAAATTCATCAGTTTAAATCTCGAAGATATTCTAATGAAAACTGAAATATTGTTGATTGTTTTATTTTTATCTTTAGAGACACTAATGAAGTCAATTAAATTAAACTTAAAGTGTGAATTATCCCATCGGCCAACTGACAATTACACATTTAATCAAATTTGAGCGTTCTTTTCATTTCGACCTAATAACAGGTAAGCTTTTAAAGTTCAACACTGAATTAAGTACTTACCTTCCACATAGTGACATCAATGTAATTTGTTTTGACAAGGTTTAAAGGGCAATTCGAAATACAACCAGCAAACAGTAGCCAATGGCAATCATGCGAATAATTACTCCATTAGCTATTTACTTAAAATGACTATACAACTTCTGATTTCGTTAAGCCATGTGTACAAAAGTGGTTATTTTCCAGCACCCTTTTAGAATATAAAAACAGGTGTTCCTAGTGTGTAACATTCAAGTTATGTAAAAAGACCACATTGGAAATTGCATCAAATCATTTAAATACCTCTCCAACATTCACAGAGTTTACCAATCTCTTTATTTACTAACTTGAGGCATAATAGTTGATCATTTCAAACCCAACTTGCATTCAACCAGACATTTCAAACACCGCTGCAGAACACGTTGGCCACGACCCCACAAGCAAGAACTCACTCGAATTTCCAACTGATAAGGCTCTATACTCACCAACATATGCCATCGAGACGAAATCAAGATAATTACGTATTCCAAACAGTTTTTAAGAGGATCTTAAAGGGCTTCTATTCGTAAAACACTGTCTGCTATCTCAGTTTTTTAAGCAGTCTTAAGAAAATATACTTCTAGAATGAAGTTTGCGAAATCTTAGTTGCTTTATTGACCCGTATCAATGATTGAATTTTATTACCATGATCTCAGGTCGTTGAACTAACCATTGACAACCATCGTGACAATCATTGAATATACAACCACGAAATGTCACATTATTAGAAATTTCCAGGTGTGCTAACGCTTGAAAAATGGGAATTATTTTCTGTTCTTTTCCTAACTCATAATGAAAAGAATTAAATTATGGACTCCTTTCAAATGGAACCAATGGACATCTGGTTAGAAAGGTGAGAAATTGAAATTTAGGGAAAATGAACTAATTTAAGTGTTGCAAATCTAATTACCGCCATTCTAAAGCCCTCTCGCCTTAGAGAAGATGGCGGTTGTCCTACTTGATGCTTCAACATCTTCTGATTTGCACGACCTATTGAACTGGTCGGCAAAATCTCAAGTCTGTTTGTGTGAAGTGATTTGTGATTTGAGAAACAAATCTGTTTCAATCCCCATGACAAGTTAAAAAGTCATGAGTGTGGTGGGGGGTCCGTATTCAAGAAATATCAAATGATTGAAATGCGATGGGAAAAGATGGTGGCCTTGATTTTTTAGCAAGAAATGAATGGAGAATACTACAGGTAGCCCTTTTTGAATTCGGGAGCTTGTATTTGAGCACAAATTCTAAGCGGAAAAATTTCGGTTGTGATACTTTTCTAACTTTTCCTTCCTCTATCCAGAGTCTTTTGGACTGTTAATCTAAGTCTATGGTTACTCAAGAGTAAATAGACTGTTTTGAGATGAGAGATGTAGCAACACGTTCGTAATACTAACTGAACTCAAATCTGTCTCAATTCGATCACATGTCTTTGTTTCCGATCTCAATAACATGAAGAAATTTGTCTTTACTTAAACAGGCGCGTTATTGAAAGTTAAGCGTTTTTTTCATATATTTGGACAATTGCAGAATCACGAATGTATTAGCACTTAACGTCTTTATTCTCGTCATAAATACCCCTTTTCACAATTAACTTCTCACGATGCTTCTCCTTCTTGGGTCTCGAAAGCTGATTTATAGTCCTAATAGAGAACTCGAAATTTTTAATATTTACTCAAATTACTTATTTGCTAAATCGAGCTCAAAGAAGATCTCTATGCTGCAATTCTCAGACCGATTTCTCCAAGATAAGCAAATCTAAATAAGAATACAACAACCGTTTCAGCTCTTTCAACAATTCCCCTCCCCCACCATTTAGTGGATTATGTGTCGCCTCTTTACTCTATATTAATAGGAAAGCCACGACAGTTCTCCCGCGAATATCTAAACGAGATTCCAATGTGAATTTAAGGGCTGTCGTCAACGGGCTTCGCAAAGTTTATTGTGAATTCGTAGGACGGTACGATTAAAATAGTGGCCATATATGGATCAGTGGTAAGACGCTATACGAATTGGGTAAGTGAATTTATTAGTGATCATATCCACCAACAACTCACCAGTGTCATATGGACCAATTTATCAATCGCGTGCTTCCACTAGTTTCCAAACGGTTCTCAACTTTGCTGTCATTCGGAGATACAGGCACTTGGCAAAGTACTGACCTTCCACACCCATTGTCATAGGTGTCATTCAAGATGCGAATTTGAGACGCTGCTTACTAGGGAGAGATTTTTCAATGGCGCACAGTGGCAATTCCCAGGTGGCATGATGAAGAGCAGGGAAACCCATGTGAACTGCTTGATAAGGAAGTTGAAGGAAGAGCTCTGCTTTGACATGTTCTCCTATAACAGGAAGGGCACCTCAAGGAATATCTGTGCATATTCTATGGAGACTGGGTCTACCCAAGTGATTTCCAGACCTAGAATGAGATGCGAAATAAAAGTGAGTGAGTTTATTTATCATTCCCAACATACCTCTCGTCCACCCAATCTTCAATACTCACACACTCACACACACTCCCTCTTTCCTTCAAGTCTACTATTCCTACTTCTGCTGTTACTACTTCGGTTTCGTCTTTCGATTTAAATCACTCCCTTAGTTCAACATCGCTCTGGTAGAGCCGATTCCAAGGTTGGTGGTGATTTCAACTTACTCATCTGCCTCTCTCTATCTCACATCTTTAACATATACCACAAAATATGCTCTTTCTTGCAGATCAGCTTAAGAATTTGCAGCTCCACGTCGTAGAAAGGAGTCCCTTCGTGAGGCTCTGGTGAGAGAATGACCAGAGGAGATTTCAGACGTAGATGAATGAATGGTCGAACTATCTAAATGTCAATGCTACCACACCTCTCCCACCCTCCCACCCTTCCACATGGCCGCTTATTTTGATACTTCACTTTTACCTCATCTTGTTCATCTCTAGCAATAAACAAGTATATCAGCTGTGCCTGACATCACTTTGTCCTCTCTCACCCCCCCCCCTCTCATTCTCTTCACTGTTGGAGTTGATGTTGGCCTAATCCTACGAATTAAGCCTTTAACTTTGAAACTCCACTGCGTGACCCATTTGCTAATTTATCCAAATTGCCCACGGAGACTACAAGGCCCTGTAGCTCCCAATCATCTAAGGCATCATACTGTGGATGAAATGTAAGTAATTGAAGAGAGTGCGTTGACACTTTAAAGACCTCTGGAGGAGGGAATTGTATGGTAGAGTAAATGTAAGATATGGGGTGGAAAGTGAGGGCATCGCATTCAATGGCACCAAAGTAAGAGCGTGATTGAGAGTCTGTCCTTGAAGAGCGACGTTCACTGTAATACTTCCATTGGAAGTTGACCAAAAAGAAGACATAGCCAATTCATGTTTCCTCAATACGACATCATCCCTTCTCGGAAATTAGATAACATGACTCAATACAGTCGCGTTAGTTCTGAAACTGCCACTGAGGGGTCGTAGTGTTGAATTTTATTTACTTATTTCAAATCGCAGGTGTTGTGATAGTTCTCTTTAGCCCTTTAGCTGACTTTGGGCTTCACAGAGAGGAGGAGGAGGAACATCAAGGTGACAACAAGTCGAGAGGGGAGGGAACAGAAGAGTGTTTCAAAGACGAAGGTAGAAAATTTAGAAAAGTGTTGAGGTGAGTATTGTGAAATTAGCCGAATATGAAATACACTGGGGTGATGATAGTTTGAAGTGAGAAATCAACTGCCAGTCAATACACTATTTTGTCGTATGAGCAAAGGTTACCCAGGGTGCACCACGTGGAGGAAAGTCTATCGCAATAGCCCAACTTTCATGAATGGGACATAGCACTTACTGCAATATACCCAGGTGTTGAGAGCGATTCCGACTAATTGATCCCTATAGTTCGGAACGAGTTGAAGTTTGTAATTTCTGGATCCCGTAGACCAGCCATGGGAATCCACTTCCTTGCAATCTGCCTACTGGTTGTTGAGCGTGTAACGAAGGCACTGGAGCTTTCACTAATTTGTCAGTTGCACTTCCAAGTCCAACTTTGGAAGTTAATCGAAGATGAGCACTTCGAAACTCTGCCTGCACACTTTCCACCTTCGTATGGTGAATTTTTGAAAATAAAGCGAATTAATGATGAAAAATGTGAGTTGGTGAAGAATAATTCATATTACTATAGGTGCAAATCTGAGACATAGACTCCATATTTTAAGCAGCTAAACGATCTTTAATGACCTTAAAAGTAAGACGCTCCGTTGATGACGTGCAGGAAATTTGTGCTCAGTAAGCCAATAAATGTGATTGAGATGGAATCCTCAAACTACAATGGTCTGGAGTTTTGAGTTTCTGAAATGCTTTGTTGGGTAGATTTGTTCTACTACGTATTCATTGGGAAGTTCCTCGGAGACGACAATTTTCAACGTTACAACTCCCACGATGTCTACCCTGAAACGATCCGTACTCCTCATCAATTACTTTCATCAGATTTCGTAGTCGGAATCAATGAAGTAAGTCATTACACCCTGGCATTTGAACGCAAACTTACGACTTTCGAATATGTAGGAGTTTTGGCGATTTCTGGAAGTTGAGATGTGGAGTGAATGTGGATTGACGGATACAGAGAGACATGAATTAACTCAGTTGGAACAAAGTGGAGAAGTGATATAGAAGAGCAATCATTTTAGCTTCGAGCATGAGTAGATACAAATCCCTATTTTACTCCTGGCCCAAATAATCCGAAACCCTCTGTAACAAGCCAGACTTTGTCTGTGGGCGAAAGGTACCCCACCCCCACTTCCCCCCCCCTCACCCTCACACCACACACCCAACCACTTCTGCATTGACTACTTTGACTAAATCACAAAACACCTCTCAATATTACACATTCTCGTCTCTTCTACCAGTCTTATTGTTGTTCAACCCATTCCTTCCGTAATTCCTATTTATTGTAACTCAAATGAACATAATGAGGGATTCTTTCACCCGATCAAATTGTATGATGCCGGGGCCCCCTCCTGCTACCTGCATTTCTTCAACCATTGCTTCAATGTTGACGATGACGAATTTGTAGCGGTGTTGTCAATGACACAGTAAAGTACTTTTAGTATCAATACTAAAAAGGAGAAACAACCCTAGCAGTTTTAACAACTATAGGTCTTTCCTCCTCGCAGGCATGCTGATCAAACTTAAGGAAAGAATGGTTAGTACAAGGCTGACCTGGTTTCTTATAACTAACAAAGTTCTTAGAAACGAACAAGCAGGTTTAAAGCCACAAAGATCACCAAGTGCTAACAATTAGTCACTCTTTCTCTCTCTCTGAAACTTATCAAAGGTGCCCTTGATGCAGGAGATACCCCGATGGCTGTTTCCGTCGATTTCAAACCAGCATATAACCTAGTGTGAATAAAGAACTTAATTATAAAATTCTTAAATATTGGTATAAAACATGACCTGCTAAAATGGGTAAAAGCATTCATTCCACAAAGAACATGTCAAGTCAGGTATGGAAACTGACTGTCCAAATCTAATAGCTTGCAAGGAAGCCTACCACAGGGAGCTGTCACAAAACTGCTCTCTTTTCAACGTCTTCTTCAATGACATGGATGAACAGGAACAGACATCCATGGGCATCGAGAGTTTACTTTATGCAGGTGGTCCTGTTCTATGGCATTCTGCCCCAAGAAAAACGTTCAGAAGAGGACCGAAATTGCCCAAAATCATGCACTTAAACTATTAGCAAACTGGTACAACAACGGAATGATTACTAACACCTTGGTATTCGCATTCCAATCATTTTAATTGGCCCACCACGACATAAATTTGCACTTAAGGTACAAGGATACTTTTCTAGAAAAACCAACGAGTTCACTTATCTCGAAGTGATGTTCGACACAAAACTAACATGGAAAAGTCATATTACTAAAGTAGCAGAACGAGTCTCCAAAAGACTGAACGTACTAAGGAACCTCGATGATAGCGTATTGGGATGTGCTCGCTCAACCCTAAAATTCACTTTCAATGTGTTTGTTCAGCCAATATTTCTGCATTACTGAGAGCCACTCATTACAGCCACTGAGGTGACTCTCAAAGCACTCGAGATAACACATAACCAGGTATAACGACTAATTACTACTGGGAGGGATAAAATCAACACTCATTGATGCAATGCTTCTGGTTACAGAGAATACCACAATACATTCCTTTATCAAAGAGAAGGCCTTGAACCTAAATGAGAAGCTACTGGGGATATCCAGGGACAAATTTTCCAAAGCGCTAACAAACGCAATCTGGCCTAATACAGAAAGGCGTAGAACTGAAGAAAGCATTACGAATTGATGGCAAACTAAAAGCCCCTCTCTACCCCAAAACCCATTAGCACCCAACTGTTTGACCATTTCGGGAATGGAAATACCCCTCCAGAACTTATGTCCTCATTGAAATCAACCACCCCTCCAGAGCTTATGTCCTCATTGGCCTTGAGACAATCAATGTCAACTATCCTGTAGATCAATGGCTCAAAGTCTTCACTGATGGGTCATACGTAGAAAGCGAAGCAAACATTGGTACAGGTGTTTACTCTGAACTATTTTCCTAGCAGCGGGAACAAAATAGATCCACATTCGAAGGAGAAATAGAGACCATTAAGATGGCACTTGGTCAATTGTGCTGCCTGAATAAGAAATTCGCCAAGGTAGTGATTCTTTCGGACTCACGGTCAGCAATAAATTCAATTGGAACCAGAAAGACGCCCAAAACAGCCGAGATATACATTTGTAAAAATACAGTGACAGTTAGAGTGGTTCTTTAATGGATCCCTGGACACATTGGCAATGTAGACACTTGCTAAGAGGGGCACTGCAATATTGCAAGGCATAGACCGGTCGTTATCTTTCAACACAATGAGGACCTTAAGCAGGAGTGAATTCAAAACTTCATGGTGCAACGAAGTTAAAGTTCAAACGAAGAAGAATCAGTGGACAGTGGCACTCTACAACATTTTCTAATGGCTTAGAATCGATGCTGTTGCTGAGTTTAGATACCAGATCTGATAGCCAGGCAAAACACCTTCACAAAATAGGAGTATACTCTCAGTCACTCATATCCCTTTGTGACCTTGAGGGGAAAATGGAGAAGACCCACCTGATTCGGTGTACAGCCCTAAAGACAACAACAGAAATCCAGAGGTACTGGAATGGCAGAAGTGAACTAATGAACTACTGGTAACCGCCCTAATGCCTAAATCTCAGTTTCTTCAAACAGCCCCTCTCCCCCTTGTGGTAGCCGAAGCCAACTAAGCGGCTAATGATAAACATCATAAAGCCTACCATTGCATATTTGATCTTCCAAATTGAGTAGATATTGTTCCTAATGTGATGGCGTCTACAACAGTTCTTTCCATACCCATGTGATCCACCTCGCGTACCTCAGCATCAACACGCTCCTATTCACTGACTTCTGTTTACGTTACTCTTCTGAGGAAATGGCTGCTACCAGCGTGCAAGTTGCTGCAACGTGGATGAAACGTAGTATGGGCTGCCATGCGAAAGCCTGGTTGCAAAAGTTCGGTGAGGGTGTCAATTTCGAACAATTTCGTGCGATTGCTAATGAATTCATTGCCACCTTCAATGCTGTTGACGCAGCGATTAAAGAGGTGGTGAGAGTAATGATGCTTAAATATGAACTGATGTTGAACGAGAAGTCGGAGGTTGGAGAATGCCCGCAAGTGCTTCGTCCTCCTCCTTTGAAACCTCTTTCTCCTCGTTCCCCTACTCCTCCCCCTCCACCACCTTCTCCCCCTCCTCTTCTTCCTCGTTCTCAACCTCCTCCTCCTCCGCGTCCACCAGATATAGATATCCAAGATTCTACTTGAAAAGAGAAAGATTTTAATGTGAGTGAGGATTTGGACTGGGGAAAATGGAGAGTGGGCTTCGAGTATTTTAGAGAATCTTGATGGCTTGACAAGTGGAACGATTCCTGACCTACTGACTGGTGAATTAACGTCCGTACAAGGTATCTTGGAGGTGTTGGATTTGAACAGATCTCTGCCAACGTGTGGTATATTCGAAAAAGGATTAAGGTTAAATTTTGACGTTAAGCACTTGGTGGAGCACCACAATTTGGGACAGAATTGCAAACTAGTTCATCGAGAATAAGCAAAGGATGGAGAATTTCGACTGAGTGGGAAATAATATAGGGGAATAGAAGATAGAGTTTTCCGTGCAGCAGAGCAGGAAGTCGATTTCGGTCTGAGCAAATATGCACTTCTCGAGAGAGTGAAAGTGATCCTGCATTGCTCCAGGTGCTCAAACTCTTGTCGTAGATGTTGCTTCTTCTCATTAGAGTTAAAGGTGGCGATGCCAAACTTTGAGCTAACGAATGGTTCTTCGTAAATAGTTCAAGTGATTGTGAGGCTTTACGGAGATGGAATGGCATACTCAGATACTGGGACATATGAAATGCGTGATCACGGCAGTATTTGAGATCTCCTTTTGAGTCTTTTGTACCCAACGAAAACTTCAACAAGGATTCAAGTTGGAAGCAAGGATTATTCGAAGAGATAAGGGTGACTATGTAGTGAGCTGACACTCGCCTTTGCTTGTGAGTACGATAATTTCCCCCTTTCTCACCAGTCATCACTACTCGTCGTCAATCATATACACAACTGAAGCTCATTGGCTACTGGAATGTTGGATAGTTTGTTAGTATCACAAGTATCCACATTCCATCTTAGCAGTCAGTTATTTGTCTGGACAAAGACGATGTGCTTTTGATAATACAGACTCTCTTTTTAACGTTGAGACATCGCATATGGTGTTCGCCTTTCAATACTCTAATCAACTATCGTAGAATTTATTCTATAAATCAATTGCATTAATTAAAATTTGTAAAAGTTAACAAGTAAATAGGTGTTTGCCTCCTAACAAGTTGTCTCACAGTAATTTGAGGGTATTTCAGAAGAGTATTCGCCAAATCAATGGACAATTCGGTAGCCAATAGAAAAAACTTACTGAGTAGCTGGCCACATTTTTGTGCTAGCACACTTAATGGGGGTTCAGTAATCTGTTCCAATCAAATGAGGCAGAACTGTTGGATAAAATCGAATTGCAAGTAACTGAATTGTAAACTTGATAGGAAAGAATTGGTCGGAGTTAGTGACAAGTGATACCGCTTTAATAAAATTGCTTACTAATCTATTTAGGTAGTGAAGTTGGTGTACCGTTACCTGATAATTCGCGAATTATTGTTTTGAACAACACAAATTACCAATATTAGCTAATTTAGCAGGAATTAACCAAAACACTCTTGAGATTAAACACTATGAGGCAATGGTGTTTAGTTTTGAAATCTTGAATAAAGCCAAGTCGTCTAGCATTCAAACAGTGTCCCAATGATAACTGCATATTTCTTATCTCCATGGAGTCTGTTCAAGTAATATTCCGCAATATCTAAAGAAAGACTCACCCAAGTGCCTGAAACCAGATTTCATAGTATTGAAAGGGAAATAATTAGAATTTGTTTGCAATTTGCTTCTCCGTTGAAGGTGATCACTGTTGATTAGACAGAGATGACATTGATTCTGCTCTTCACATAATTTTCCCAAGTCTGGGGTGTGTGTTAGACTTACCTCCACGTGGTGCACCCTGGGCAACGTATACGCATACGGCAAAAAAGTCTATTGACCGGCAGTTGACCTCTTACCTCAAACTACCATCACCCCTCTATATTCCATATTCGACCCCTTCCACAGCACTCATCTTAACTTTTCTCTGCCTTTGCTTCTGTCTGTCTCTTTTGCATCTGTGAGTCATTATTCTGTCTCTCCTCTCGACATTTTGTCACTTTGATGTCCCTCCTCCTCTCTATAAAGCCCGATGTCAGCTAAATGGCTAATGATAACTAACAAAACGCCTGCCATTTGAAATAAATAAATAAATTTTCCCAAGTCTTCCATGCACAACCGATTTAATTATATTGGTTAAATATAAATGGATGGATTACCACTTTTGTGGAAGATCGGAACTTTTGTCCATTAATAGGAGCTGTCCTCTCGATGTTGTCTTTGTCTCCTTTTAATTTCCGGTGGGTGATCAAGTTATAGTCGATAGTTGTAATAATAGAGCTAGCTTTGGCAAGTAAGTAACTACTTGATAGCTCAAATACTGCGTCGTATAAACGATCAACCAATAAATAACGTTGACTATTGAAATCAAGCAATGAAAAAGAGGTCAAAACTTATTAGGGCCACAAATGGATTATCCCATATCCCTTCGCGCCCGCTTCCACCTCCAAATGATGAGGGATAAATGAGTGCAGCAACGGAAATGAAAAGGTACCATTAATTTACACATGACTCCACCAACTCATCCAGTACATCAACAACCGTTAAACAGTTCACAAGTGTTGCTCTAAAAGGTGCTAACAACAACGTCAACAGTGTGTTTAAATAAACACCTTTATATAGCTGTCAAAGGGTCTCCTCTCTTTACAAACCCACCCTCCATCACCATCACCATTTCGATTGACGTTTCCGCTGAGTCTCCAAATCAAAGTTGTCTTAGGTCTCACCACACAGGGCCGCCACACCAGAGGAACACATTGAAACTGATTTTCAATGTTATTCTATTTGGGATATAGTACAACAAGGTAGAATTCAATTCAATTTAAAACTCAGTTGTATTTCTAATCTTGAGCACATTCAATCTAAGGACTTGATTGGCTACCAACAGCTGTCTAATGGGTCTCGTGAAATCAAGCCGGGAGACGGAGATAGAGAGCGCAAGTGGAGAAGTGCCCTCAAAAGTTGGTTTCTGAAATTATAGCTTGTATTTGTATGGATCACTGTTCATCTTGTAGCCGATTGCTACACTAAATGGCCTTCACTTACAAATGGACTGATGAAATTTTCATAGTAGGCAACTTGGAAACCATGAAATCTGTAGTGAATTAGCTACCTCAATAACCTTGACTATTCTCAGAAATATCTATAGCAGTTTCTTCCAACTCGAAAGTCCCCGGGAATTAGCACGGAATGCGCTTATTCAGTACGTATATTGATAGCGAAGTGAACAGGCAGGGAGCTACTCATGATCAGGATGGGGGATTAGGTTAAACAGAGGTTAATTATTGGTCACTGTTTGGACGGTCGCTGCACACAGAGTTGTACGGCCGCACCTCCCAATCTTGGCGAGCAGACATGCAGACATACGCTGACGCACAGATCGATAATGTGTCTCACAAATCAAAGCAAAGTCCTGGAAATTGTCAAACACTGCCTTTAAAGCAAGCCAAAACAGTGAAGGTTTGAATGTTTGGACGTTCTCAGAAATGCTCGCAGTTTCTTTACAACAAACTTGCCTCAAATTATTTTATGCTACTTTAAAGCATTCAGAAAGAGAAGACACAATCGAGAAATGCTACGATATCGTAAACAGCAGAATAAAATCAAGCTTGTTCTCTTTTAGAGTTCTCTTTATCGACGCATTACAAATTTACTGGCACACTACAAGGCGCATATATTCGTGAGTACTGATTTCCAAATCGGTAAGAAAAGTCAACACGAATTTCAATTGAGGGTGGGAGAAATAGATATTGCTTTCTTCGTTGCGTTTGTCGACGGATGAGCATTCGAAGCCCAAAATGCATGAGATTACGGCCTGCTGGAGCACAACTGGTGTGTGGGATTGCCTTTATGTGTAGGCCAATTTCGGCCAATTGACATGTTTTATAAGAGAAGATTTGAGAGGGACAATGAATAGTAAAGCTGCTGAATAGTTCAAGATAGACAGTTGGACGATGTGTTGAAATGTTAGTCCATCGGTTAATTCAGAGACAATTTGAATGACCAAACCAGCATTGATATCGATTAGGGTATTAGAAATTTGGAAATACCAGTTACTTAATTCAGGGTGGGAGTTGGAATGTAAGAGAAATTAGAAGAGGTGTCTTTGAATTGTACGTGGATGGCAATTTATTTTGGTGAAATTAAAAGTCAGGATTCGAGAACAGAGAAATACCTTGAATGACTAATCAATTTATTTACTTTAGAATAAACACTAATATCAGTTTGGTTGAGAAGTCCTCTGTACTCACACGACAGCTCACCATTAGAAATGTTTGAGAGGGAATCGGATTTCTAGATTTAATCGTTTTCGGGTTACCGTCTTCATAATGTCAAATAGCGAGAACAACTCATGAGAAACTTTGGCAAACATTTCTCTCGTCATCAAAATAATTCGCATTTATCTACTTACTATTCTCAATCTGCATTCTACTTATCTAAACCAGTTTTTTGTGAGTATGTCAATTCAGGTGGTAAAATGCAATTATAATAAACCTTATGACAGAAACACTTATGTATTTGGTGAGGATATTAATATC